CATGTAATGTGTAACTAAAGTAAGAGCACCCACTACACTGTATAGATGGTCTTTCTAGGACAGATTTTTATTTTTCTAGAAGTTCGAATAGCCTTTGCTGTATTCATAATAAGGCAGGAAGCTTACGCTTTCTTGGTAATTCTTCTAAATACTCCTCCCTCCTTAATTATGAAATCTTTTTCTAAAAATGTATTTTCTGAATTATTTCAAGCTTATGAGGAAAACATCACAGGTGCCAGTTTTTTTCCATGTATGGAAAGAAATGAAGACCAAGGAGCATAAATGGAAATGTCCTCTTTTCAGCTGTCTCTCAACTATTCATGTGGCTCTTACTTTACTTCCCTTTACAGTGTTGTGATCCTGCAGGTTCTAGATCAGAACTTTCTCTAAAACTCCTCTCTGAAAAATGTCTTCTGCTTTTTTAAACGTCTTCTGCCTTCCCTTTTGTGTAGTCTTGTATTTTTTTTTCTTTTCAGATTATCCATCCAAACAATTTCATCGATTTCTCCCTTCCCCAACTTTTCAAAGTGTATTATATACAGACATCCTCATTTCATCACATCCTTGACACTCATATCACATCAGTGAGGTTCTCAAGAAACGCTGGGCAATGCCTGTGCTCAATCCTCTCTTCTATACTAGGAGCTCCACTGTGTTGTTACATTTGTTTGTTTATTCTAATCTCAATAGGGAGTAGATTTCTATTCTAACAAAAGACTGAAAATTGATGACAAAAATTAAAGCACCTCTCCCAGTAGTTTCTTGATTGTTTAAATGGTTTGACACAGAAGGTGATTTTTCTTCCTTCCTTCCTTCCTTCCTTCCTTCCTTCCTTCCTTCCTTCCTTCCTTCCTTCCTTTCTTCATCTCTCTCTGTCTCGCTCTCTCTTTCTTTCTTTCTCCCTCTCTCCCTGCCCCGCTCTCTTCCTTTCCTTCTCTCTCTCTCTCTCTCTCTCTCTCTCTCTCTCTCTCTCTCCCCCCCATTCCTTCTTTCTAGGACATCATTTGAGACACATCAGACTTTTCTGTTTAAACGTAATTGAAATTCACTGAAAGATAAACGTGATTAAAAAAAAAAAGATGATTTACAAAAGTATCAAAAAATGGCAACCACACCAAGAGAAATCCACAGATGAAATGCCTTAGGATGTTAGCATTCAAAGCAATTAAGTCCATCTGAGGACAATATAAAAAGGCATTAATGTAATGGCAGCATTTACTAGGGAGGAAAAAGATTTGGTATGTTCAGGAGGGAAATAAAATGCGGAGTTATTCTAGAAAACAAGAAAGAGAACCATAGGGGTCCCTGGGTGGCGTCTGACTTCGGCTCAAGTCATGATCTCACTGTTTGTGAGTTCGAGCTCTGCATTGGGCTCTGTGGTGACAGCTCAGAGCCTGGAGCCTGCTTCAGATTCTATGTCTCCCTCTCTGCCCCTCCTCCCTCCCTCCCTCTCCCTCTCTCTCTCCCTCTCTCTCTCTCTCTCTCTCTCTTTCTCTCTCTCGCTCTCTCTCCCCTCTCAAAAATAAAATAAAAATTAAAAAATTAAAAAAAAGAATGATAACCATAAAGAAATTAGATAAATTGAGATGTAAAGAATATTCAACAGGATCAGTGGGTGAGGTTTAGAAAAAAAAGCTTATGTAAACAAATGACAAAAATATCATAGGCAATGGCCATAGCACAGAGTGTGTGCTTCAGTTTGAATCATATAGGCCATATATTGAGTATTAAACATACATAAGTAACACAGTGACAAAAGAAGATTTTTGTTTCAGGGAGATTATTTGAGGAACTCTGAACAGAATTGGTGAGAGGTTTTTACACAGTGTAAGAGAGAATAGTCATTGTCAGAAAGATGGCACAATGTCAACAGGCATTGAGGAGATTAGGTCGGCAGAAGAAATCAATTCTCCGAATGTAACAGGTAAAGAGACAGACAAGTAATAATTTTAAGCCAGGAGTTTGGTAAGGTGATTTACAGTTGTATATGAGAAGGAAAATGAATTCTGTTTTGATAGGTTACATTTATCAATCTGGAAGGACATTGATATGGAGACAGCAAGCTATAGGTGAAAGGTGTGAATACAATTAAGAAAATATGACTGGGCTATTGATACATATTGTTAAATATCCACACAGTATACATAGTCAATGCTTTCAGAAATAAGAATACTACCAAGGTAGTATAGAGATAAGAGGTTGGAACAAACTATAAAAGAAGAGAAAGAAATGCTTTGAGCTTACCTTTATTTTGGGAGCTGGAGAAGCTACAACACCAGGGAAGACAAAGAAAAGTTTCAAAAGAAGCAGTAGAAGGTCTAGGGGGTCATAATTGTTCTGGAAGTCAAGAGACGAGAAAGTTCCAAGAATCAAAGCCAATGGATAAAATAGCTGCAGTGGAAACCAAAGAAGAAGCAGTTTCAAGAGAAGGCCATTGGATTTTATAACCAAGAGTCAATTAACCTCTGGCATCGCATGATAAGGAAGGACAGAGGCTGGACAGAATTGTTTTATTTGAATTTTTGAGTATCCTGTAAAACAGAGACTACAATTATATTGTGTCAGGGATGTAAGAACAAGAAAAAGTGCTAGAAGTTATTGACAAGCAGTTTTTTTAAATTTATTATAATTACTATTTTTACATATTTACAAATTGACTGAAACCTGAACAGAATGCCTTGGGAGTGTATAGTCTCAAGAAAGGATGACGGTAAATTTTGCAGAGTGATTCAAGTGTGAGCTGGTACTCTAGTCGGATAAATTACTTGATTTTTATAATTGAGCACTAAAGTGGTGTGGCCATTGAATATTGCCTTCTTCAGAGTGGTAATAAGGAAGGTCAGTGGAGGGTGCGGACCAGAATGTCCTACTTTCTGATGTCTGACCTCATCATTAGATGAGCCATCCTCATGCCAGAGGGTGTATTACCGCTGGCATCACTCTCTCCACTTGCGTTGTGCTATTTATGCAGCTGCTGACCTTTGTTCCATTAAAATCATTGTTGTCCTAATCACAATCTATTCTGTTCAGCACTTTCATAATGTCTGTCACTTAGGAAATTAACACAGTCATAAAATTAGCATAGTCTGATGACTTGAAAGATATCATATAACTTTCTAAACTGCTAAAGCTTACAGACAACTCATTGAGTTCTTGCTGTTGTGCTAATGAGTTTATGAGAAATGGGGAAAGTCATAGCCTAATCATTTTTAATGCAAGTATATTATTTATTTGTAAGATTTTTATTAATATCTGCAGCTTAGGACTTTGAGATAGGACTGTCAAGTAGTGTGCAATCTATTATTCAGGCTTGCTTAACCATAAGAAGAGAATAAGACGGGCTTAAGAAAAGAATATGCATGTTTGTCCACAAAATGGGAATTAGAGACGTTTGACAGGGTGTCCCTAAGTATTACTCCTTAACAAGAGCCTCAGACAATCACTGAAATATCATCAGTTTAAGTAAACTATAATATTTCCATAGCAAAAAGTTGTCTTCCAATCCTTTGTGAGTCTCAGCTGTGTCATTTGTGAAATGAAGATAATGATATTGCCTGCCATTTATTTCACAAGACTATAAGGATAAAATAAGATAATTCTGGAGACCTGGAAAGATGGCGGCATATGAGGATGCTGGGCTCACCTCATCCTGCTGATCGCTTAGATTCTACCCACATCTGCCTAAATAACTCAGAAAACTTCCAGAAGACTAGCAGAATGGATTCTCTGGAGCTAAGCATAAACAACAGGCCCACGAAAGAGGGTAGGAAGGGCGGAGAGGCAGTGCGTGCTACGTGGGCTGATGGGAGGGAGCTGGGGCAGTGGAGAGGCAGCCGCCCAGCAAGGCAGAGCCCCTGAGTCGGGCTTGCAAAAGCAGAGGGGCCAGACTGTGTGAGTTCTGACAGCGAGCAGGACTTAACATCTGGAATGTTAAAAGTCAACAGCTCTGCTCTCGGAGAGCGGGGAGGGAGAGTTGTTGAGCCCCAGGAGACAGAGCTCAGCTCAGAGGGGAAACAAAGGTGCTGTCAAGTACAATCTCCTCCTCTCATCCCCCAGCCGAAATCCCAAAGGTAACCAGTTCCCATCACCGAACTTGCTTGCACTGTGCGAATGCCCAATGCTGTGCTTCTGTGGATCCATCCCTCCCACGGGTCTGCCTCCCTCCTGGTGCCGCAGGGTCCCTCCTGCAGCAGACCACCAAAGGCAAAGCGACCTAAGCCTGCCCCTCACACCCCTGTGCAGCTTGCAGATGCACCCCATCTCAAAAGCCAGATCCCATTGAAGCAGCACCACAAGCCTGGCCGTGTGCAACTAGCCCAGACAGGGGCCACATCACTCCACAGTGAGACCTGCCGTGGGAAGAGGGGAAGATAAGGTACACACCAGTCTGACTCTGGCCCCAGCAGTGGGTTAGGGGCAGACATTGGCTCCCAAGTGCCCTGCAGTTGGGAGCCACCAAAAGGATTACCCAAAGTGATGAAACAGAAGAATTCTCCTGAAAAGAAACTCCAGGAAGTAGCGACTACTAACAAATTGATCAAAACCGATTTAAGCAATATAATGGAACAAGAATTTAGAATAATAGCCATAAAATTAACCACGGGGCTTGAAAAAAGGATAGAGGGCAGCAGAAGAGGCAGAGGAGAGAATAGGTGAATTAGAAGATAACTAAGTGATGCAATCAAATGAAACAACATCCGTATCATAGGAATTCCAGAAGGAGAAGAGAGAGAAAAAGGGGCTGAAGGTATACTTGAACAAATTATATCTGAGAATTTCCCTGATCTGGGGAAGGAAAAAGGCCTTGAAATCCAAGAGGCACAGAGAACTCCCTTCAGATGCAACTTGAATCAATCTACTGCAGGACATATCATAGTGAAACTGGCAAAATACAAGGATAAAGAAAAAATTCTGAAAGTAGCTAGGGATAAACAGATTCTAACTCACAAAGGTAGACACATAACAATAGGGGCAGACCTATCTACTGAAACTTGGCAGGCCAGAAAGGAATGGCAGGAAATCTTCAATGGGATGAACAGAAAAGATATGCAGCCAAGAATCCTTTACCAGCAAGTCTGTCATTCAGAATAGAAGGAGAGATAAAGGTTTTGCCAAACAAACAAAACTGAAAGATTTCATCACCACTAAACCAGCCCTACAAGAGATCCTAAGGGGGACTCTGAGTGAAATGTTGCAAGGACCACAAAGTACCAGAGACATCACTAGAAGCATGAAACCTAAAGACATCACAATGACTCTAAACCCATATCTTTCAATAATAACAATGAATGTAAATGGACTCAATGCTCCAACCAAAAGACATAGGGTATCAGATTGGATAAAAACACAAGACCCATCTATTTTCTGTCTACAAGAGACTCATTTTAGACCTGAGGACACCTTCGGATTGAAAGTGAGGGGATGGAGAACTATCTATCATTGCTACTGGAAGTCAAAAGAAAGGTGGAGTAGCTATAAATATATGATCACATACTGGGTCACAAAACAGCCCTTCATAAGTATAAAAGAATTGAGATCATACCATGCACACTTTCAGACCACAATGCTATGAACTTGAAATCAACCACAGGAAAAAGTCTGGAAAACCTCCAAAAGCATGGAGGTTAAAGAACACCCTACTAAAGAGTGAATGGGTCAACCAGGAAATCAGAGAAGAAATTAAAAAATATATGGAAACAAATGAAAATGAAAATACAACAATGCAAACACTTTGGGATGCAGCAAAGGCAGTCCTGAGAGGAAAACACATTGCAATGCAGTCCTATCTCAAGAAACAAAAAAAATCCCCAATACAAAATCTAACAGCAAACCTAAAGGAAATAGAAGCAGAACAGCAAAGACACCCCAAACCCAGCAGAAGAAGAGAAATAATAAGGATCAGAGCAGAAATAAGCAATGTAGAATCTAAAAAAAAAAACAAAAACTGTAGAGCAGATCAATGAAACCAAGAGTTGTTTTTTGAAAAAATAAACAAAATTGATAAACCTCTAGCCAGACTTCTCAAAAAGAAAAAGGTGATCAAAATAGATAAAAGCATGAATGAAAATGGAATTAATCTGACCAGTCCCTCAAAATTACAAGCAATTATCAGGGAATACTATAAAAAATTATATGCCAACAAACTGGACAACCTGGAAGAAATGGACAAATTCCTAAGCACCCACCCACTTCCCAAACTCAAACGGGAAGAAATAGAAAACTTCAACAGACCCATAACCAGCAAAGTAAATGAACGAGTCATCAAAAATCTCCCAACAAATAAGAGTCCAGGACCAGATGGCTTCCCTGGAGAATTCTACCAGACATTTAAAGCAGAGATAATACCTATCCTTCTCAAGATGTTCCAAAAAATACAAAGGGAAGGAAAACTTCCAGACTCATTTTATGAAGCCAGCATTACTTTGATTCCCAATCCAAACACCCAGCAAAAAAAGAGAACTACAGGCCAATATCCCTGATGAATATGGATGCAAAAATTCTCAATAAGATACTAGCAAATAGAATTCAACAGCATATAAAAAGAATTATTCACCATGATCAAGTGGGATTCATTCCTGGGATGCAGGGCTGGTTCAACATCTGCAAATCAATCAATGTGATACATCACATTAATAAAAGAAAAGAAAATAACCATATGATCCTGTCAATTGATGCAGAAAAAGCATTTGACAAAATTCAGCACCTTTCTTAATAAAAACCCTCGAGAAAGTCGGGATAGAAGGAACATACTTAAAGATCATAAAAGCCATTCATGAAAAGCCCACAGCTAATATCATCCTCAATGAGGAAAAACTGAGAGCTTTCCCCCTAAGATCAGGAATATGACAGTGATGCCCACTCTCACCGCTGTTGTTTAACATAGTGTTGGAAGTTGTAGCATCAGCTATCAGACAACCAAAGGAAATGAAAGGCATCAAAATTGGCAAAGATGAAGTCAAGCTTTCACTTTTTGCAGATGACATGATATTATACATGGAAAATCCGATAGACTCCACCAAAAGTCTGCTAGAACTGATACATGAATTCAGCAAAGTCACAGGATACAAAATTAATGTACAGAAATCAGTTGCATTCTTATACATAATGAAGCAACAGAAAGCAACAGAATAATGAAGCAACAGAAAGACAAATAAAGAAACTGATCCGATTCACAATTGCACCAAGAATCATAAAATACCTAGGAATAAACCTAATCAAAGATGTAAAAGATCTGTGTGCTGAAAACTATAGAAAGCTTATGAAGGAAATTGAAGAAAATATAAAGAAATGGAAAAACATTCCGTGTTCATGGATTGGAAGAATAAATATTGTTAAAATGTCGATACTACCCAAAGCAATCTACACATTCAATGCAATCCCAATCAAAATTGCACCAGCATTCTTCTTGAAGCTAGAACAAGCAATCCTAAAATTTGTATGGAACCACAGAAGACCCCGAATAGCCAAAGTAATTTTGAAGAAGAAGACCAAAGCAGGAGGCATCACAATCCCAGACTTTAGCCTCTACTACAAAGCTGTCATCATCAAGACAGCATGGTATTGGCACAAAAACAGACACAGACCAATGGAATAGAATAGAGACTCCAGAATTGGACCCACAAATGTATGGCCAACTAATCTTTGACAAAGCAGGAAAGAATATACAATGGAAAAAAGGTAGTATCTTTAGAAAATGGTGTTGGGAGAACTGGACAGCAACATGCAGAAGATTGAAACTAGGCCACTTTCTCACACCATTCACAAAAATAAACTCAAAATGGACAAAGGGCCTGAATGTGAGACAGGAAACCATGAAAACCCTAGGGGAGAAAACAGGGAAAGACCTCTCTGACCTCAGCAGCAGCAATTTCTTACTCGACACATCCCCAAAGGCAAGGGAAGTAAAAGCAAAAATGAACATTGGGACCTCATGAAGATAAAAAGCTTCTGCACTGCAAAGGAAACAATCAACAAAATTAATAGGCTACCGATGGAATGGGAAAAGATATTTGCAAATGACATATCAGACAAAGGGCTAGTATCCAAAATCTATAAAGAACTCACCAAACTCCACACCCAAAAAACAAATAATCCAATGAAGAAATAGGCAGAAAACATGAATAGACACTTCTCTAAAGAAGACATCCAGATGGCCGACAGGCACGTGAAAAGAAGCTCAACATCACTCCTCGTCAGGGAAATACTAATCAAAACCAAAGTCAGATACCTCCTCACACCAGTCACAGTGGCTAAAATTAGGAGCCTATAGAGGCTGGAGAGGATATGGAGAAATGGGAACCGTCTTGCACTCTTGGTGGGAATGCAAACAGGTACAGCCACTCTGGATAACGGTGTGGAGGTTCCTCAAAAAATTAAAAATAGATCTACCCTATGACCCAGAAATAGCACTGCTAGGAATTTACCCAAGGGATACAGGAGTGCTGATGCATATGGGCACTTGTACCCCAATGTTTATAGCCGTAATTTCAACAATAGCCAAACTATGGAAAGAGCCTAAATGTGCATCAGCTGATGAATGGATAGAGAAATTGTGGTCTATATACACAATGGAATACTACTTGGCAGTGAGAAAGAGTGAAATATGGCCTTTTGTAGCAACGTGGATGGAACTTGAGAGTGTTATGCTAAATGAAATAAGTCATACAGAGAAAGACAGATACCATATGTTTTCACTCTTATGTGGATCCTGAGAAACTTAACAGAAGACCCTGGAGGAGGGGAA